ACACACACACACACACACATGAACGCAGCACGCAAGACCTGCATGCACTCCACACAGACTCATCGAGCTGTATCGTTGGCCGTGAGACATCGCGCGAAGGGTTGCATGTCAGCGTTTCTCATACGCTGCAACCCATACCCTCGAACCATGCGCAAGAAAAGCCCGGAAAGTTGCGCAGGATCTCTGCGGCAGTTGGTGTGGCGAGGATGATCCTGGCCCCGATGGTCTTGCACCATGACACGTGTGGCAATTTGTGTTTGCCTTTTGTCGTCTGTTGACGGCCTCACGGTCTGGCATGCACAAAGCGGAAGAGTGACTTGAAGCTTTGCTCGAAGCCGGGGTAGCTCTTCCAGCCACTCTGCCAGGAGGCATTTCGACCCATGGTTCATCAGAGTCAGGATTCAGGTTGCGGTTGGGGCTGGGTCCTCTGCCAAAGGGGCTTAGGCTCCAGGTGCAGCACAGTTTGGTTTTTTTTATTTGGGTTCTGTCGTCCCTTCCTGGACAGCCAGTGCCTCAGGTACTTCGTAGCCTATGCTTTCAATGAGTACGTGCTCCTCGGCATCAGAACTTCATTGTCATTCAACGATTGGATGCAATGCCTTCCAGTGAGGGTGCTTTACTGGCTCTGCCAGGCTCTGGCTGGAGAAAACAGGGTTTCGGAAGAAAGATCCTTTCACTGGACCCGCCGCAATCGCAGATGTCAAGTGTGGAGGAGAATCCGAAACTGGCATGAGCCAAATCGTTGACATCTCGGATGTGTCCTCATCCTGATCACCATTTGCATTCATCCTCCTCCCCGTCATCTGGATCGTCGCAGGAAAACCCAGAAAGCCGGAACAAATGAAGGTTGGGTCTTTGTTGACAGTCATGATTCTCAAGGTTGAGGCCACGGGGCCATATCCGACCCATCGCGCTTCTCGGCGGCAGCGCTCAATTCTGCCAGGCAAGAGCTTCAAGAGGCAGGCTTGCAGGATTCGGCATGTCTTCATAACTTCATACTGCCACATCTCTGCATATGGTGCAGCCAACGTGCGGTCGTTAACATCCGAAACTACAGCCGTCTCCAGAAAAGAGCGAGCATGAACATCTTATGGGGTAAGGTTCTGGGCTCCTGCATTCATCGTCTGCGCAATGCCCACGGCCAACAACATGTGACTTGGCCTGATGATCCACCGCACGAAAGTCACTACATCGAATCCCCCGTGGAATGCTGAGAACTTAGAACTTAGAACCAATTTCTTCTGAATTTGTATGACAACTTCCACTGGGCCCCGGGCAATTAGCCAGATCGATTGATTGCCTGATTTGTAAGGACTTCACCAGGGATTCCGGGGAGGAACCGCTCCCGGCCTCCCACTACTTAGGGTTCTACGTTCGAGCTTGCACCATTCCCGGAGGAATGCGCCTAGCCACCATCAAGATCAGCCACGTCTCGCATTCATCATGGGGCTGTTCGACTCTGGCTGTGTCGTTTCGGAAGCATGGGAGTCGATCAGCCTTCTGGTGTTTACCCAAGCCGGCTGGACACAGCCCACTTAATCCAGAAGCATGAGGATAGCATTTGCAGCAGCCCCAGACGCACAGTCATCAATCCAAAGGGTATGCGCATTCTTTCAAAACAGGCAATGAGAGTCTTGCTTCCCGGCCGATGGGCGCGCTTGCATTTCGAGGAGCACCATGGCCGACCTCATTGGCAGTGGGCGCAGCATCGCCGCGGCCACTACAGCGATGCAGCTGATGGCCGCCCCAGCCTCTCCGCAACAAAGCTAAGCTCGATGTTTATCTCGTGCATGTGCCGATCTCTTCTGCGCTTGGCTCTGCTTCGGATGGCTCGTGCTGCATCCAGCCTTCCTCTCAATCGTGTCTCCTTAAACTCAAGGCCGCAGGGCCGTGCGTCGATGCAAGTGTACCGCCAAAAACTTATGCAAGCATTGGCTTTGCATGACTGCAGGGTGTTCGGCTGTTCTGACTTACCAGAGGTCATCCTCGTCGCCTCACTGAGCACGCATTTTGGCTTCAGTCGGAAGTGCCTTTTGGGTTTAGGCCTTGGGGAGCGCTGGCCGAAGCCAGAATTGTGTTGGACTTTGCCGGTGCAGGGTTGGTGTCTCGGAGTATGCAGAAGAGCCGACACATGTCATTTTCCTGGTGAAACTCAGGTTACTATCTCTGGAGGAACATCTTGGCAACTGAGGCTGACATGTCTGGATTTGGTGCATTCAACTAGAGTAGATCAAGTTACATGCAGAGACACAGCTGGGACTAGACCAAGAGTACGACGCATGGAGAAGAGTGCCTTCCTTTCGACAAGTGGTAGCTTGCGCTGACATTTGGAAGGGAAAGCAGTGAAAGCAGGTCAGAAAACCTTTTGCGATATTTAGACTCCAGTCAGACTCTGGTCTGTCTCGTTGGGTCCTGGCCAACTTCAACAGATTTGTCTGCAGCCTCGCATGCCGTTTCTCGCGTCTGCTGGGGAAATGCTGTGCATTCTTCATGGGGCCACATCGCCCGCAGCAAAGCACCGACGTTTTCCGAAAGGCCAGCGGGTGCAGCGAATATCAAGTACTTGTAATGAGTGGGACTTGAAGATGCCAGGGCCACCACACCAGCTGTGTAGAGCAAACTGGTTTCTTCCACGCCTCCCAAGACAAATTTTCCGACGTTTCACTAGTTGCGATTTTGTCAGTCCTTCAAGTGGAGCAGACGAGACCAGCAACATCACGTGCTGCGGGGTTTGAACGACTGCCTCGTTCTTGTGTCAGGTTGCAAACCGAAGCCGCACGAGAAGCAGCTCCGTCGGAAAATAAACTACTGCAGTCGCAGCTTTGTGCCAGACATGAGGGTCCAAATCCAAACCTGACCAGAATGGGTCATCGGTAGCATCACAAGTCGCCTAGGCTGGGCCAGGGGACCTCCCAGGGATGTTGAGACTTTCGGACGGGCTCCACCTTGAAGGAACAGATATGCATGGCTTCCAGGGACCGTGTCACGGATGGGCCCATTTGCGAAGTTGATGGTGCAGAGACCCCTGCAGAACGAGTTCTTCGTCACAACGACACGAACCATATCCCAGTTTTTGGTTTCTCTTTTGTTTCTGCAGGGCATCCTGCGATCGATTCCAAGCCTGTGGTCAATGATCTGTCGTACCATACGTTCTGCACGACCACTCTGCAGGCTGTGTGCGGGTTGAAAGAGTCGCTGCACTGCAGCTTCCAGCGCTGCTTTCAGGATTCCATGTCTGTCTACATGTAGACTAAGGATCTACCTCAGCTCTCCGAAGAAGCAGGCCGGAGACCTTGTCTGGTGCAGCGTTGTGAGCATTGCTTCATGTGAGCTTCCTCATGCTTCTTGTGACCCCCTGTCCATTGATTCTCTATTCAGTGGAGAGAAGCTGAGAGTTTACGGCGTGGAGAAAAGAAGAAGTGACAGCATTTTTGAACCAATGGTTCCAAGGAAGCCATTTCTGGTATCATGTGATATCCTGTGGCAAGGAGGCACCCTGGTCCCCTCTGTCGCTCTTAATTTTGAATTGGACATGCCCTGACACCACGCCGAGGCTGTTTCTTTCGTGGGGGCGAAGGTGTCCGTGGGTGCAATGGGTATGGTCCTAAGGCCCACTTAAGCCAAGCAACGCGGAGGAAGGGGTGATCGGCCGGCCCCAATCGACGTAGCCTTGCCACGACCGCCATACAAGGTGACTCCTATTACGAGTACCTGCTGAAGCAATGGATCCAGGGAGGCAAGAAGGATGCCCTGGTCCAAGAGTTTTCGCGTTTAGCCACGACGTTTTCCTCAGCTGTGTCGGAATCCTCAGCATCGTAAAGGCCCGGCTCAAAGATGCCTGGAAACGAGCGCCTCCCTCAGCCTTTGGCATTTTCTGAGCTTTTCCAGCATTTATAAAGCAGGCTGTGTAAAGCTGCCGGTCTTTCGCGAAAACTGGGCTTATGAGAGAAATTGGCATCGTGGCACCTTGCTTCTTCTGGCCTTACACTTTCAGAACTGAGCCAAAGGCTATGAAAGAGATGATGGACACAATGGTCACGGGCCCCAGATTCCCCTGGAGAGACGGATCGAAGTTTGGAAGTTGAAGCCGGTGACGGCTTCATGTGGGCATTCGCATACTTGCTGCTGTTCGCTTGTGTCATGCCCCAGAGATTCGGTCACAGCCTTGATACGAGAGGCCGATGCGAGCAGAAGTAACTTCCGAGTTCGGCCTGCGTGGAGTAGGTACTCAGGCACAAGCACAGGATGCCTTTGAAGCTTCACCGGTGCTTCCAGGTCGTCAGAACCTCCAGCGGTCTGCAGTTTGTTGCAGAGCTCGAGTGCGAGTCTCAGATATTGAAAGGTGGATCTTGCAGCCGAGCGCGCTCCACGTTGCTGGGACAGGGGGACACGGCAGCGGAATCGAATGGACCACCTGGCCTGCTTTGTGGCGCGGCGCCCTGGAACCGTGTTGCGGATGATGATGGCAGCAAGTGATTGGGGATGACCACGATTAAGATGATGATGACGAGGCAGCAGCAGCGGCAGCCGTAGCAGAAGCGGTGGTGATGATGACATGAGCACGTAGTACAGACGACTGTAACGCAGAATCGGGAACGCTAAGCCTTCGAGCCCAGGCCGGCATGCTGATGTTCGGGGCTGAGTTGTCCGCAGCTCTAGCTTCAGCAGCTACAGGAATGCGGCTTCGCGTGTGTCTGTGTGTGTGTGTGTGCGCAGTTTGCACCTGCTTGGGATCTTATGACAACACCGGAGTTTCAGGGCTCGGCAAGGCCGCGTCTATAGCAATCAGAAGATTCCAGATTCCTTTGCAGCTCTTGTTCTCAACGTTTCGATCCCGGCTTTTACAGTCTGACGATCCCTAGAGGGAAGTCTTCTGTCGCCAGAGGCCTTAGTTACTCGACCTACTGATACCGCAGCATCGCTCTGTTCATCCAGGCTGGGCAGCAGGACGCTTCCCAAAGAAGAGGTGCAGTCCAGCGTGGGTTTGCAAATAAGGCAACTGGATTGGCTCCGCAATGCTGTCGGAAGGCATTAAATGAATCTGTGTATAGTTCCCCGAGTGGTCCAACCGTGTATCAAATGGTCACTCGACTTTTCACGCCTCTAGCAGTTCAACTGGCTGGGCTGGGGAGGTCTTGGCTGAGAATTGTTGTTTCGTTGGTGTAGGCGATGCTACCCTCCCTGCACACCGATGGCTGCCCGTAGCGTCTCTATGTTTGAATGCTTGTCCCACTTGTATTTTCGAATTTCTCGGCTTCTTTCTACTCAGTCCTCTGTGCCCTCGTCTTGCGTCATGCAGTGCAATCTTAACAGGAGCCGCTGAGACTGCGTCCTTAAAGCTTCTGTTTTGTGCAGGTGGACCCTCGTTGGGAGCCCTTTGCAGTTTCCGCCTTGGCTTGGTTCGTGCTCGCAGTTGCTGTATCCGAGAGGAGGTGTGAGAGTTGTCTCTCCATCACCCGCTTAAAGCTGATGCGGGCTGACGATGGATTCCCGTGCCCCGGAGACCTTGACGTATCGGAACTGCTTCCTTCACAAAAGAAGCCTGGTGTTAGCTTCAATGTATCCTTAACGGATGTTATCAGATTCCGTGATTTCATCCGTTATTGATGAATGCAATTCACCAGGCAGTTTCTGATGCCCTACGGCCTGTGCATGAGGCCGAGCTGACCTACACCTGCTACCAGATGTATGTGTCGGGATCCTATCCACTGCTGATCTGTGTACTTTGTGCCCTTTTGAAGCCCAGGCGCATGCCCACGGGACTCTCGCCGGAGTATGTGGCATTCAACCTGCAAGCCGCACGGGTGCCCCTTGGGAGCAGGGCTCGCTTGTGGAAGCAGCTAGGCTATGACAGCCTTGAGTTGCAAGTGCTGCGCAGGATTTTTTGGCTTGAAAGAGTTGATAACGCCGGAATCTGCGGCTCCTCACATGAAATTCTGCGATCAGAGGGTTCTGCGCCGCAAGTTACACAAAACATGAGCGAGTCAGAAGTCCTCAGAAGTGTGACTGCAGGGCCAGGAGATGTCTGTACCCGGAGATGCGCCCCACAACTTGCTTCGCCCTGAGGCCGCTGAGGCGCAAAGCTTCTGTGATCGTTGTCGGTTTTATCTTGACCAGTCAGTGGCCCGATGGTGGCAGGCGCTGTGGTACATGTGGTACTACACAGGGGACCACAAGTACCGGCAGTGGGCCGGGAACCCTCCCAACTATGTTTGCAGCTTTTGCGCACGCACCTCCAACAGAGAGAGAGATCGATAGAGCGAGGGAGGGACTCAAGCAACTTCATCTCAGATTCCTGGCTGTCTGGCGCACCACTTCGTGCAATGGCAGCCGAATGTCTTAGGGCCACGAGATGTTCCTCCCCTTCCTGCGATTCTGCAAGGCTGATGGGTAGTTGAGTGTTCGCCCTCCTGCAATCTTCCGGCAATGAAAGCATTGCGGTTCTCTGAGAACGAGTTGATCCCACTGATTTCAGGCATGACCTAGATCGCAACCGCTCCTAGATCCGTGCACAAGCCAGGCGAAGTATGGATTCTCGGCGATAACAGATGTCCGCAAGAAGCCGCCGCCGAAGCGTGACGCCCAGGCCAACCAAGCACTGCTTCCGATCCCAGGGCAGTGCTCTGGAACTTACAGGATGTTGTAGGCATTCAGCCGCTTGCAACGAACTGTTGCAGTCAGCTTGCAGGTACGGGAGGTACGCTGCACTCATGCCCCCCTGAAGCGTCAGAAGCACTCCCGCCCTTTCAGATGCGAACAGGAGAGCTTCTGGCTTGGGGAGACGTTGAAGCGCCATGGCTCCAAACGGTCACAGTCATGCATTTCGGATGCTGTGCACGAAATAATGGGGTCGAAGTTTGAGGAATCCATACCTCTTGTCAACTTAGGGAATTTGAGAGGTTTGATTCCAATGCTACATGTAATGTTTGTTCCAGCAGAGCTCGCCGAAGACCTTGTAGAAGCAACTCAGTGGTGCAGTTCATTTCTTGGGGTCTACAGAAAGCGTGCGTGAGATCTCATGCCCACCGTCCTGCAAACCTGATTTTGAAGCAGAAGGCTGTAGGTTAAGATTCCCGCTGACTTCCTGCCAAGCTGGAGGTACTTTTACCTTCTGTTTTCACCAAGAACCACACTCAATCTGGAGGACTTCCAAGTTTGGACCCTCGCTGGCCGGAGCTTCTCTTCCGCCGGGAGTTTTCCGCAGGAGTTCGTTTTGAACACGGAGGCGCAACCTCTGCGAATCATGGCCTGGAGCTTACTCGTGCCAGTGAGGGTCGGATCGGCAGGACAATTCGAAAGCTTCTTTCGAAGAGTCTTTTGCCGAATGACAGGGTCAAGCAAGCAGGCGAGCAGGTTCAACTTGGCTGGGCTTGCTCCCTCACCAGTGAAGTTAAGATTCCGGCCTTTTGCCGAACCAGAAAAGCCGTCGCTTGTCGTTTTGCGTCAGGAAAGCTAGCTGACCGGCCTTGCCAGCAGCAATGAGCGGCTGCACCATACATGGCTGGTGTGCAAAGTTTGTGAAACCTCGATGGCTAACGTTTGGTGTGGTTGGATGGCTTGGCTGGGTGCCTTTCCGGCCGAGCAAAGGTGGAGGCGGTGAGCCAAGCTGGGGAACTTCCCGGCTTTTGCTTGGTTTTGGGGCTTTTGAAGCATCCCACATTGACGGGCAGCACGAGGTGACGTTGCGTGTACAGAGGTACACAGTTGAATAGAATACTAGAAGATTTCATCGCCCATGGGCGACACCGGTGTTGCGGAATGCTTTCTTTAACTCTTCTAGCTCTTCGGCGACCGCAGTTGGCAAAGCTGGGCGAGATTGCCTGCCGGCCAAAGAGAAGCCTTTTTCAGTTCAGAAGCTCTCGGAAATGGCTGCGCAAGGCAAGCTGGGCCTGTCCATGTAGGTCGTTTGGCGGATGATGGCCGTTCTTCGTTTCACCTCCAGATAGCAGCATGCGCCTTGAGGCGGAAAAGAACGGACGGCCCCTGCGATGTGAGATCCTCCAGTCTTTGTTGCCATCCGCTACCTCTCCGACTCGGTTTGCCAGTTTCTCTTGCTCGCTGCAACACTGAACATGTTTAACAACTTATGGGGCTCCAGCAGAGTGCTCCGGACCGCCTAGAACCGCCTACTGTTTTCAAGGTTCAGCGGTAGGCGACCAGGATGTTGGGGTCTGCAATTCACGAGTGACCAGCCGGAAAAAAAGCTCCACTGATTTAGTGGCATCTTTGTCGAAGAAAACTCGAACCCGACCATCGTAGGACACCTGAAGGCAATCCACATGCGTAGGTATGGGCACGAAGATTGATGCGGCCCCCTCTAGGACCGTGGAAAACCACCCGGGTCCCCCTCCGAGAAGTAACGTTGGACTTACAGCCGCTTGTAGTATCTATGAATGGATCCCCCCAAAACCCTGTTCTGCCCTATCTGCAACGAATGAAGCGATGGCAGCGGAACACTTGCCTGCCACTCCTCCTCTGCCTCCTGGACAACCCGGTGAGAGGTAGCAATCTCAGACCGAGGGTTGCTACTCAGCGGTTTCAGAGTTCTGTGTAAAGCACATAATCATCTGCAGACCTTGCCTGGCTTGCTCCGATTGTGAGTGTCAAAACACTGAAGAAGCCGACATCCAAGTCGTTGCTTTTAGGCAGCCACGCCTGTTGGATAACCGAGTTCGCAATCCGCTCATATCCTGCCTTCCAGTCCTGAGGCTCCAAGATCCGACATGCTCGGCCAGCACAACTTGAAGTCCCCAGTCTGGAAAGCTTGAAAAGTTGATCCTTTTGCAATGCATGACCTTCGGGTAAAGCACCGCGCTTTGCGCTGGTGTTGCAGATGCTCTGTTAGGCCTTGCTGCACACTTTCCCACGGTAAGTTTGTCTCTACCATCCAGCTAGCTCATGGCCTATCAAGAGCCATTGTTTGCAGGTTCTCCTGTGCTCTGGCAGGATAGGAGGTCGATTCAAGCTTGTTATCTTGGAATCCGTTCACAAGGCCGACGAGGTGGAATACCCGCGCAATGTAGGTCCCCAGCTGCGCCCTGGCTTTCCTTGGAGCACTTCTGGATGATGGCTTCCGGGCCCAGCTTCAGGTTGTAATCATCTGATCATCGGCTTCAGTCTTCCCTGGTAGCCGGAGAGTTCTGAAGGTTACTCGCTTGGATGATGCATGTTGAAGGCTGTCGAAGCAGTTGACCTGACCTGCACTCGGCTTTGCCACATGTCCAAGTGTCTCAATGGCCGCGCCTGGTTCGCCCAGTTGAGAGAGTCGAAACTCTGAGGTGGGCCGTTCTAGGCCCCTGGATGTTTAGCAGCGGTGTCGAGCCGCTGGCCGCGTTCGGCGGCATCCAAGGCTGCCGTGATGTGTAAGCAGTTTAAAACCCGGGACACTAGATGTACCGGACTGCCTCGATCCTAAGTCATGTAAGCGGGTCGGGGGCAAGAGGCGGCAAGAGGCTGTAGAGTGTTGTGGCTGAAGTATCCTCTGACAAGTTTGGGGTGTCTGGGCTGAGTTGGCACCTGAGCCCCAGGCACTCATGTGCTGGTGTAGGATTCCAGTGCAGCATGCTTCGTGCAAAATCCGAGATGTCGCGGGGCGGTTGCCCTCCACATTCTGGACTGCGCTCCGGGAGCGTGCCGAACTTTGGCATGATTCCTTTTCGGAGCAGTTGGACTACGACAAGGCGCCGCGGCCGCGGTGCCGTTCTGCTTGCAGGACTTCCAGGGATCGTGCATGCTACTGGCGGGTCCGTTTTGCAGGATGTATCGACGCTGCAGGGTACGTAGCACGAACAACTGATGCAGTTCTGCCGAGGCGTTGAACAAGGTCTTTTCGCACCTTGCCGCCAAGAACAGCTCCTTACTTCCTCGTGCTCTGAGCGAGTCACTGGAATCGTTCCTGGGCCATGATATTGTGTTGCATTGGGGTCGTTGGTAAGCATGGCATCAGCATGGCCCGTGAATAGCCTCATGTTTGGTCGCACAACAGTTCATTTCACTTCGCTGCAACATGGGCCACGCAAGTGGTGGCAGATTCAAGTGAGGTTTCCCACAGAGGTGGGCCCCGGAGGGCGCACACTTTGGGGCTTCGCCCTGGCAAACTACTCGGACGAAAGGGCCTCTTGCCAGGATTCTGTGGCAATGACGTTGAAGTAGGAGCTGCTTGGTGAGATGCCACTACCCGACCCAACGATGGTACGACAGACACGCTGACGGTTTACTGCTCAAAGTTCATGGAAAGGCGCCGTAGGTGTTAAGGGAACAAGCTTGGTGTGTGTGTGTGTGTGTCCTGTATCGGGGGCAGTCTTACAGAAGCTTAGAGGCTTAGCAGGTCCGTCCCCCGGATTTGTCAGGTGGAGGTCAACTTCACCCAGCTGGCAGTCACAGCTGGCTGGACTGATCACTCTGCCCTAGTCGGAAGTGTTCGCTTTTCTGCTTGATGGAGCAGCTGCCCCCCCAAAGCAAGAAAGGAAGGTTTTCACCCGTTGCTGTTCAACCGGCTTCATCATGGCTTCAATGAGATGGTTTGAATTTTGTGTCACATTTCTGAGCCACTTTCCAGCACAACGTGTTTGATCGTGTCCTGTCTAAATCGCGATCAAGTCAGGAATGTTGGTCCACTGCCCTCGTTGGCATGCTCACTGCACGTGTTGCTGCAGGCAGGTATGTGAAGCGGAATGAAATGGAGTCCAATAATAGTAACAAAAGTGCTACCCCCAGACAAGATGGATGAATGCAACAGCGCAGCGGACCAGGAAGCATGAGTATAGTTTCATGTTCAGGATGTGGCTACGGAGCGATGATTGTGCAAGGAAAACACTGACCCCAATGCTGCAACAACTCTGATCATTTAGCATGGTCAGCCATGTGACTTAGGTTGTCACGTCTGCTTTTGACGATGGGTGTTACCTTTCCCCAGTGCCTGTCGGACGTAGACGATGTAGACAGGCTGACAGATTCAGCCTGACCACGCTTCCTCTCTCTCTCCCTCTGTCTCTTTCTCTCTTGGTTGGTTCGTTTCTATGTCTCTCTTTGCACCATCACTCCCAAAGTCAGAGTCAGAGACAATAGGGAACCGTTTGAGTTTCAGACCGCTATCGCACTCCCCTCGATGATGGTGTTTCAATCGCTGACATGCTTTAGCCCGCAGGAACCCAAAGCTTTTCTCAGATGAGACTGGCCATGGCAGTGGCTGGGCAATGGGTGAGTTTAACCTTACGAGCGACACAACGATTTTGGCGAGACCTGGCTCGATTCGTACATCTGTGTGCGGCAGTGATTAGTGTTATGTGCGTTCGTGGGGTGTCTGGCAGTTTGTCAGGAGCTTGGTCGCTCCATCTTTGTCAGGTGTGTGCAGGGCTGGAGCAGAACTTCTCGATCAGCCATGATCCGCAAATCTTGTTCACAGACATGTTGTGCAAGATCTACCGATGGTATACCAGTCTTGGTGACGTAGATGGAACGTAGGGACGTAGGGACTTTAGCTTGAAGTGCCTCCCAGAGCTCAGGAAGTGCTCGAGCTCGTTTTATTTGGACTCTGATTTAGCTTTGCGCTTGGCGGACGTTTATGGGGAGAACCGGTCCGTGCATATTCTGCACTTGCAGATCCTTGGACGAATCAGTGCCAATTTCTGCGGCGCAGCAACGGGATCTCTCCTGTGAGTGCACGCCGGTCAGGAAGGGGCAGCACCGAGTCTTTGTCAAGGCGGCAGAGCCAGGCAAGGTAAGGGGCATCGTGCCTAATGGCCTCTGATTTTGTGCTGAATGCTGTACGAGGGCCGTGCCTGCAGACATGCCCCCACGCGGAAGCATCCAAAGCTTGCATGCCTCGACCGCGGGAGCCTTCAAGGCCAAGTCCTGGCTCTCTGTGCAATATGTAAGCAATTGGTCCGGAGGAACAAAGTACTTGCAATAGGGTGGCAAGCCATTCCCGGTAAACTTCTGTGTCTGGCTTCAGACCCGCACCCTTTGGGGCAGTGTCAAGATGCGTAAACAGCTTGCCAACGCAATTTCACATCCATCTTCTTCGCAACCCCTTCAGCAACGTCACAGCTGAAGTTTTCCATATATGTTTATTTAGTGACCCGGCTGCTGTCGTTTCTGACCTGTCCTGGCACCTGTGCCGTCTACCCGCTAATTGTGATTTGCATTTCCAGTCATGAAAAGTTACACCTCCAGTCAACTCCAGGCTTCCGCTGCGAGTTCCTTCTGGATGGCGCGGCAGCACGGGAAGCCTTGACGGGCGTGGCAGCTGGTGGGCCCGAGAAGGCCGAGGCATGTTGTTCGAAGACAGCTGTGTCACCGGCAAGGCTTGTATTCGTAGATGCATACATTCATACATACATGCATACATACGCAGGACATGAAAGCAGCAGGCAAGAAGGTGCATCAGACTGACTTGCACATTGTGCTGTTGAATTTTTGGCACCTTGTGCCATGGTCCAGACGGTGAAAGACCTTTGTAAAGCAAGACCTAGGAGAGCCCAGCCCCAAGCCTTTCAGGTACTCAGCCCTTTCGTCTTGCTGAAGGACGTAGCCGTCTCGGAGGCGGGCCGGTTTCAAAGGGACCTGAGGCTCACGCTTCGAAAAGCCACGTTTCAGTCGGTTGCTGACTCTGGAGGTCATCGGCTCTGATCTGGCTTCTCCTCACCTGGGCACCTTGGCGAACTTGGCCTTCTTGCTGGTAGATCCGCGGGGCTGGCTCCGACAAGCGCCCGGCACCAAGATGCCTCCCGAATGTCCCGATACGGAAAGACCCCAAACTGGAAATCTCTCTAATAACAGGAGATGTGTGGTAGAGTGCTTCGCCCTGCACCAGTTCTGCCGGTCAAGATTATCGATGCATAGAGGAGAGGCCAAGAGGCATATCACGCCTAACCAGCGAGGCGATGGTAGGCGAACCGAGCCTTCAGGTGGAGTTCGTCTTGATAGAGGCATGCCGACCCCACGGATCGAAGAACCGAGGTATCCCCATCCTCAACACTGCCCGGGAGCCCTTGCACTTGCTCAGCGCTGCGTGCCCCGGCAAACTTGAAGAAGGTATGGAAACTGTTGAGTGGTTTGCCGTCTGGGTCGTCATCCGACGTGGATGCAAACAGGAAAATCGAAGCCCCAGGTTTTGCACTCTTCGGCAACTGCCTGGTAAGCACCACGTGCTGAGACACGACACGTTGGGGATCATCTGGGCCATCTGCTGATGTGACCCATCATACCTTGCAAGTTGCGATGTCGTGGCATCTGCCCGTGCCAGGATTGTCGAAGAAGCGGCGAACCTCAGTGTCCAAGGACGGATTATGTAGGTACGGCTTCAGCGGTGTGGCAGAGTACGTTCTGTGGCTTCTACTCTTGTCAAGATACACAAGGCCTGTCATGTTCGCGAGGCCTGTCGTTGGAAACGGCATGCCCCACGCCCAAACTCATTTCGACAGGAGTCCATCCCGGCGATTTGCCTGCTGTACAACCTGGGTACCCTGACCTATAAGGCTGTTAAAAACTGGGGGCGCATCGGGAGGTTTGACGGCTCTTCGAGAGGCTCATGCCTCAAGAGATTAAGGAACTTGTCGCATTGTCAACAGCGATGCTTGTACTCCCGTCCTGCTTCGATGAAACATGGTACAGAATCAGATGTTTTGCCCAACTTGAGTCCACGGGGGTGATATGCTTCTTCGCACCTAAGACCAACGATCGATTGCATCGTGGGCTGGCCGGCGAGACGAATTTTTTTTCTGCGCCCAGGCAAGCCATGATTCTGAGGCTGAACCTTCAGCAGGCCTGCCTGGGGTAAGCCACGTCTAGCCAATCCAGCTTCTCGTGTGCTCAGGCACCCAGGTGTCTTTTCTGGTATGCTTCCACGCAGGAATCACTTTAACATTGGCATGCGTCGCCTGTCTTGGAAACAGGGTGGGCAGCTGACCTGCCATGGGCAGCCCAAGGCACCTTGGCTCTGCTAGCGTTACTTCGTCAATGCTACGCCACTCTTTCGCTTCGCTGATCTCGGCAGTCCCGCCCGTTGTGCGCCTTACAGCATAATCCCCACCAGAGAAATCGGTGATCCTCGAGCCAGAGACGTTCCAGGTTTTCACCTTCACGGTAGCGCTGCAGCCAGAGGGCAACCACGCGCCGGTCCATGCCTCCATCACCACGCAATGCCGACCCTCTTGTGCACCAAGTGGAGTCCTGCAAAAGACGGAATTGTTCGAATCATTCCACATTGTCTTACCTACTATTAGCACATTCCTGTACGACCAACAGCCTAGGCTTGTACATCGTGACATGGCGAATGATCGGCTGAGAAATCTATTGGACCTACCTCTGTGCGGTGAGGGGCGAGGGGCAAGCGGAGCAGCATGACGTGCAATTACTTCCTGAGGACTCTTAGGTAGTGAGCTTGAAGCAGCTTGAAGCTGTTCGTAGGTGTGATTCAACCTGAATTTTTTCCCACAGTCAGTCAGCACCTGCAGAATTTGGGCAAGCTCATGAGGCAGCACTAGATAGGTTAGGGCAGTGATGATGACGGTGGTGGTGGTGGTGGTGGTGGTGGTGTGGCGGTGGTGTTGGTGGCGGCAGGGGGCTGCGCTATGGTAAGACCAGTCCCAGTTTTTCGCTCGATTCTATGTCATTGATCCATTCCGTGCTCATGTGCGTTGTGTTGTGCCAGAGTGATCAGAAAGCTTTAAGCGAGGCCGCAGTGCGGATCGCGGCTTCCTTGTGGCCTACCCAGACTTCGATGGCGGGCCTTGGGGCTAGGGCAGCATGGGCTACGCAGGTTTAGGGCCAGAAGGTTCCAGTTCTAAGAGAACCTTTCATGTGCTTAATTGATGCTGCGATTCCCTTGTTGCACTGTTGTGGTGGTGGGTTCGTGGTTGGCTAAGCCTGATCGTTTGCTTATGGTGCAAGAGGTCTTACAAGACCGTAATTGTCCTACGAGCTCACTCGTCGTTAGAAAGATTCACGATTCGCCGATTGGTTTCCTTGGTGCTTACTTTCGCAGTCCCCTTTCAGGAACCCCATGGCAAGCTTCAGTTTTAATCCTCGAGTCCAGTATGAACGAATCGGGTACAGTACTATCTCGCAAGAAAACAACACATGACCAAGTACAAGACAAAGCCAATCAGGGCATACCCTACGTCCAACATACTTCCAAGAAGACGCTGTCGCTAAATTCTCCCAAGAGGCCAAGACACAGCCACCACTCCTAGAGCTCCCTCAGTGGGGTCGTTCGCGGAGGCTCGATCCAAAAGCTCTGGGCGGCACCTCCAGATGTTAGCCAATTTGCCAATAGGACCTGCTTGGCCGCACAGTGGAGGGTTGAATTGGGGCGAGCTACCGCTGCAATCCCCAAACTTCTCACACCCGAGAACTGCAAATCACGCCTCTTTGCTGGAGGACCTGCCCGCCTCGAGGTTGTCCGGTGATGCTCTCTCTGCACGGTGCCTCCGTCAGTGTGGGTCCAGTGTGGGGACATAGCGGCTTGGCATTTTTGCCTTATTGCAGCAGGGGGTTGTATGGTTTATCTGCGAGAGAACGCGCCTAGTTTGCTGGGGGTCTTGATCCAGCACGCTTGGTTTCTGCTAGTCGCTTCGGATTGAGCTTGGAACCTGGAAGCGAGGGTGAGGCCGCTGTTTTGCTTTCCACGAGTCGGAGCATTAACACCTGTCGATTCGTAAGCCGTGTGCATGGAAAGATAGGAGCTCACCAGCTGAGGTTATGAGCTGGGCGGGGAGACGCTCGGAGACCCACAGCCTCACAGTCTCACCGCCCACCTCCAAACCCGAAAACCCTGCCAGTGCCGGATTCCAGTGTCCAACGCAGACGTGAACTCTAGTCCATCTGCATTGTTTAGACTTGTCCGAGTGCGTGCGGTCAAGCCCAGTTAGGGCAAGTCCCTTCCTGTCACCGAGGGAAGGCTTCCCCTACGGTGCTTGGCTCGTACAGCCAACAAACCGCTGGCATTGGGGCACAGACTGGGAAGGACCCGGAACCATGGCCGCAAGACGATTCAGTTGTGTAAGGTTTCTTACGTTGCGCTATCAGGGGTATTATGGGGGGTTTTGTAGAGGGTCACTATACAGTTGCGACACTATAGACTATAGCCATAAGATGCCATAAGGGGCGCCTACTTTCTTTGCTTCGGCTTTGGGGCTTTCTCAGAACCGGTTGAGCCTGAGAAGGGTGACCTTCATCATGATGGCAATGAGAGAGCAATAATTATCGGTTTGCTTCGGTACGAAATGAGCATGTGGAGGCCCGGGCGGTTGTGAGTTAGGCGTTGTGCAGGTCAGACCTTCTTATACAGTGGCCTCACAGTTCAGGAAGGCTTGGTCGCTGTCTGGTGCGCCCGTACTAAAGGCCTGGACAATGCCTTGGGTGCCCTGCGCTATGTTCGCGACGAGCTGCCAGGAGACTTGCGGTCACCAACTTGTAGTTGCAACGGTTCAGCTCCACTGCAGCTGATCTGCAGCCGGCAGCTAATTTCCATGCAATGGCAGCCCGAAAAGGCTCGCAAAAATCACGATCGTCAGCAGGAGCCCCAGGCAACGTGACCGAGCGACGAAAGAGCCACAGCTTGGACGACACCCGAGTGCTGGTGACAGGCGCGGACTCCTGATGCCAGTAGGTGCATCCTTGGGATTCGGCAGCCCGAACCCTGCATGCTGCAGACTTTGGAGCAGTGTCCGGACTGAATGTCAAGGTTAAACCATCTCACGTCCGTTGATCGCTCTGCATCCCGTGGGCAAGAACCAAATCCAAACACATGTGTGCGGTGTCAAAGTATACATATAGGCATATACATATAAACATACATACGCACATACACATACACACATACACACATACAGGCATACATGCGTACACGCACACACACACATACACACAGAGACATAAACAAACAATCATACATGCATGCATACATACGTACATACATACATGCACACAACTCAAGGTCTGTAGGCTTACTTTATCTGCTGTCCACCAAACACTGGACCAACCCGCGCTTGGCGGCTGTAGCCCCGGGAGCTCTGCAAGGCGAAGAAGTGTAGATAAATGAGCACTCCCCAAACTTATTCTGCTACAAGTAGCTGAATCGCCTTCGGTGCGACCCGCAGGCCACTCCATGGGTGGCCACGGCTGCTTTGTGTTCGCCAGTCACTTTCCAGACTCGTGGCCTCGAGCCACAGGATTTTTTCTGCTTACTGCGAGCTGCGAGTAGTTATACACAAACAGCAGCACCTTGTTGGGTACGGGTTCTGCGATATCCCATTCTGATAGACCTGGTTCAATCAGGGCGTTCCTCCCCATGGTGGTGATGGTCAGTGATGGTGTTGGTGATGCTGCTGTTCCACGTCATTGCAACATCCCATGGAATCTGGCAGACACGTTGGCACGAGAATCTTGTTCATTGCATGATCTCGCAGAGAACCTCGGCCGGAGACTCATGACAAGAACTTGGCTTTCGGGTTTCGGGATACATGTGGCCTCTGCAAAGGATCTGCTGCTTGGTGCTGCTTGTGCCTCCGGCTGGCCGTCCTTGAACTCATACGCTGGTGATTCCCATTCGAGCCACTGGGCTTGGAATTTGCAGTGGATTCCCGATCTCGGATTCGAAGCTCCGGCTCCAAAATCCTCCGAGTCCTTCAGTTTGGTGATTTGATACGGCTGACACGGCATGCTGGTCTGTGCAATGTGCATGTCGGACGCCTGGCAGGACAAGGCAAAGACTGTTGACGGTTGGCTGTGCAGTGCTGTTTTCTGACGTCGTCGTTTTGCAGGCCTTCTCGATGGAACCCGTCGCGGTTTGCTGGAAGAAGCCCGCTTTGAGCACGCGGCGGATGCTCGGCGTGCAACAGCCAAGCAGCACGAACCCTGATGGCGTGTCACTGTGAAATGTACCATGAAGATCCCCGTCCAAAAGCCAAGCCTTCATTCATGCCCTAGCTAAAGCTCGTCCTGTTCGCCAGGATTTCGCACATGAGAACCTGGTTGGCGTACCTATGCTCGTGATCTACGGGAGCAAGGACTTCTGAAGGCAAAGTGTAGCAGATGTAAGCATTGCATGCAGCGATGGCAGCAGGACGACAATGTCCCACCGACACAACCTCGCAACATGGTCCGTTTGCTCGAATCGGCCGGGCAGCTTGTCAGACTGATGCTCAGCCGAGGGAGTCTTTTGTCAGCTTCGGCCACTAGCATCAACCGTAACAACAAGTCCAAGCTCGCTTGTTTACAAAATGGTTTCAGCGGCTAGCAGTTAGCAATGGACCGAACGCCATGAGAAGCAAAGGCAGAAAGACAGCACCGTGACAGCCGTCGAGCTTCCAGGTGCAATTCCGGTTGAATTGACTGCCATTCCTAAGTTTCTCAGATTTTCTAGCCGAGTCGTTCCTACGACGACTGTCCCCAAGCTCTGGCGTGTTCAACATGGATGGGACGCACCCGGGTTCCTGCCAAGCGCAGGTGTGGGCCACTGGTTCGGCCAGGATGAGCCTTCTTTGGCCAAGTGGTTTCAAGAGCGCTGCTCGCCTGATCCGAGTGATGACGCCTCTGTTTTTTAGTGTGTGAATATGCTGCTGCAGATGTACTTAAGTCTACCTGTGACTCGTATCGATGTGCGTACACATGCATACGTTGTGCTATGTGAGCTGCCCGGAAAAGCCCAAACAGTGGGGCAAGGAGAGGGAGACTGAGAACGAACGAGCAAGCTAGCGAGCTCGGCTTCTGCACTGTGGAAATCGTTTGAAAGCAGAGGACAGTGGTATAAGCGAATTGCTTTGTTGATGGTGTGCTAATTCAGATCCCCAACGACGATTTTCGCGGCTCAAGTTCCAGGGCTTTGCACACCATTCGCTTCGGGACCTTCCCCTCATCGCCTTTAGATTTGTAGCGGCCGCGAAGGACAAGTATGAGCAGGCCATGGGAATCTACTTCGACAGCCTCACCGTCAGCCAGGTGGACTACGAGACCCTGAAGTCTTGCTACACCGCCTGCGTGCTGTGCCTGGTGAAGGACGAGAACTGGGACGAGGTCATCAAGGTCACCAGCCTTGCCGAGGGAGACTGCCCCGTGGGGAAGCCTAAGTTCCTCGCTGGCATGAAGGTGGCGAAGAAGCGAGCTCAGCTGGAGCGAGCGTCGGTGGCGCTTATCAACGGAAATACATTGGACGCCAGCGAGCTCCTCAAGCAAGCCCGCGAGAATCTCGACGTGCAGGCCATGTACACAGAGCAGTGGTACGGGGACCCTATGATGTGCAGGAGAGGCTTGGCTGCCTGGAGTCCGAGCTGACGACCGCCACGTGAAGAGGTTGTGACCTGAGGCTGCAAGAGCAGATGAGCTGAGCCACCGTGTAGAACTACGGGGCTGTCCTCTGTCAAATGACGTCCAATGCCGGGTTTCCTTCTATGGTAAGGGTTTTAGATGCGGTTGTTTTGATTCCGGGTGTCTGCTTGCAGTGGGATGTCGAGTCCAGTGTCACGCCGACTTCGCACCGTGAACCTCGCAGTTGTGAGAGCGTAACGACACTTCTCGTTCTGTGCATGTTTTCGCAATCCTCCGCAGGCTTGAACACTAGCTTTGCTGGCGGTGACCTGCGCCTGCCCGAGTTGCCGGAGTACTTCGATTCTCGAAGTGGCAGTGGTCTTTACTTTGCTGTTGTTGGAATGTCTTTGCCTTCCTTCGCAGTTACAATCGCACTGTCGCAGGAGGAGTTGACTTGAAAGCATGATCACAGAGCGACACTCGCGAGCCGAGGAATTTTCCGTGACTTCGCCTGCGACTTACGGATCCCGAGGGTCCCTCCAGGCAGGAGAGCCATGCACCCCGCATTACAATCGCAGTCAGCCTATAACAGCCTATCAGGGCATTCCCACAGTTCTCGGCGTACTCTCAACAAAAGGGGCCGATAGGATGTCACAGCTTCATGGCTGAGAAGACCTGTCCAAGCTTTGTGTGGAAAAATAGGATGTTGGCCATGCAGAAATGCACTGGATCAAGGCAAGAGGCATCAGACATCATGAGACACTCTTCCAAGCTGTGGGCAGGTGCTTCAGCAACTCGATGTGCCATGCCCGCACATGGCTTTCTTAAGTTGGCCCTTGTTCTCCGTCCGACATGGACAGACTTGCCGTCAGCAGTGGTTCAATGAGCAGCCGGTTGCATGCTGAGCTGACTACAACAAGGCTTTGTTCAGCTATGCCGATTCCACTTCATGCCTTAGTGACATTCACTGGACGTAGACGATGTGCGACAGAGCACACAAGTATAGTTGAACATGCACCAATGATCACATCACCCACCTAGGAACCCGTATAAACCCCTAAACAAAACCCTGAAGCCTGAGAAGCGTTTTCCTCCGGAACCGAGGCCTCAGAGCCGGGCCGCATCTTTGTCCAGAGGCGCCTCCGGGCAGAGTTGTCGATTTGTCTCGCGCAGTTTGAGCATTCTAAGAAGCCTCACATAGCCAAAATTAAGACTGTTTGTGGAACCCTATAACCTAGCATAACCTACTCATAGCGACCGAGTTATAATATATTTGTAATTCATCACACTAAAGTAGCTAGGCCAGTGCTAGCTAGAAGGCCCGAAAAAGCGGTAACTTGGAGACTTGCAAAGGGTGGCGTGTCTAGACTCTTGCTCTCCAACACTTCCAATTCCAGCAACTCCGCGAGCAGCTCTTGTTTGTTTATGTTCGACTGAATGATCCCCTGCTTCTGAAATGCCGAGCTGGCCTTCATAATGGCAACTCTTGATTAATAAACCCCCCCTCCCC